TGATAGATATTGTCGAAAAAATATTCAAATATATTCTACACGTTCACCAAATTATGCATTTTCGTTCGTGCGACATAAAAAGAAAAAAACCCGGCAAAGAAGTGTATATGTAGTTTCTATGTTTAGTGAACGTTTTTCCTTGCCTTCATCTATACTACTATGTATGCCAGTGCGGTTTTTTTTTGTTTTAAATTCTTCAGTAGATTCACATCTAGAATTATTATTTATTTTTCCGCATAAGTACATTCTTGCGACATCTGTCTACGTGATAGATAATACCACAATAGTACTGGCGGATGGCAGCGGAGTAATGAAATTCAATTGTAATATAAAAATTTAATAAGCCTATAATTTAATAATAAACGGGTTTAATTGAACCAATGCTTAAGACTACAAGAAAATAGATGTAGTATGCAGACGTGCCTTAGAATAAGTTAGTTGTTAATGTTTAAATTTTAAGTTGTTATAGTCGTAAGAATTATTTACTAATTTTTAAGAAAATGTACATGTAGCAGCCAGGTCCTCGGACCCAACCCTGTCATAAAGTTTATTACCGTTGCTTAAAGAAAAAGACCTCTGGGACGATCAAGAAGTACCGATTACTGTACAATTTTAAAAAGGACGGAATCGGAAGTCTAAGAACAACCCTCGAAAAGGTTAGACGTCGTGAGGGCTTGGCTCATTCATGTAAAACTTCCATGTTCTGTTAACTTAATCTTATTCATCTTATAACTTGTTTCTTTTAATAAATCGTTATATTTACACGTCCCTGTTAGCGTTACTGTTATATCCCTACATAGATATCTATATAATGGTACCAAATTTATAAAGATTAACTGCGTTGTTTTTGCTAAAAAAGGATAAATATTTTTGAGTTCTTACTGTAATAATACATCTTCGTCATTTTTCTGTACAAATTCATAGTTCCCACAAGTTAAATAATCTAGAAAACTAAACTCTAAAAGCCGCTTTCAACATGGTAAAAGGAAAACTGTGACACAGAAATTGGAGTGTAATCTTTAAATTGCCACATTAGGTACCGTCGTTTATCTGTTTCCGCACCATTTACCGAACTGAACTTAACAATATTTTGCCCTTCGTGCGGTCAAGTGAAAATTAATTTAAAAGGATCTGTACGTCTAAACCTAAATTTGCAAAGGTACTGGGTAGACGAAAATTATACAAACAATTGTAATGTTTTCATTCGGAAAAGTGTTGCTAATCAAATAATAGAACAAAAACAAGCACGAAAACTGTACTTACTTCAGAAAGAATGGATTGTTATGAGTTATTAAAAGGACTTTTTCCGAAGTTATACTTTTTTTGAGGAGTTGAGAGTGGTATGTTTAGTGGCAGCGGAAGTTGCAATATTCACACGAAAAAGCGACGGAATGAAGTTTGCTTCATAATGGGGAGATAGCTAGAGTTCCAATGGGGAATCATACTGGTGGCTCTGACAATCGTACTGGCGGTTCTGACCTTAAAGGTCGCTATTATTCGCTGTTAAGGACAATTTAAATGCGTAATATGTAACTGGTCGGAACGACCTAGACAACGAGAGATGTAAAGCATTGCTTATAATACTCGGGAGGATGCCAGTTCGATCCTGGATGCGCCTGCTGTGATCCAAGCTTATCTGTCCATTTCAAAGATAATCTTTCACTTCTATTCTATATTCATTTCGTTCGACTCGTCATTCTCAACCCAAGCACCCATTCCCACGATTCCTAAAAGGAGGCTGAAAAGGACCTTCTGTCCTATTCATATAACTTCTACAACGTGTAGTTATTTGTTCATTGATTGAAGCTATTAAGAAATATCAACTTAAACTACAAACTTTTTTATAGTAAATGAAACTATAGAACCGTATTAGATAATTTTTTAGGAACACTGCCAGGATTTCCTTAATTATTCTCCTAAATGTATAAAGAACTATATTCAAAGTCACCCATGCTTTTTTATGTAATTGTGTTCATACATAAAAATATAAATTCCTAAAAAAGTTGTTTATTTACTAGTCATATGCATTTGTGAGTTATATAATGAATCGAAGGTGGTCCACTGCGTTGTAAGGCAGCGCCTAATCGATTTGGGCATGGGCAAGGAGATGTGCAGTCGCTCATTGCGCAGCGGACCGTTTCGTTTTTTTTTTTATCCTTTATTGGTGATATGCTTTTTAGGCATATTTGCTTCGAACTAAATTATTGTTTCAATCTCTAGTCTTCTTGTAATGTACTATATATTTCACAAGAATGATTTAAGTTCAACTTTTCATACTTTTACGACAATCACACACAAAAAATTGTTACAATGGGAAGAATTCGTGCGCATTCTGATCAATTCCCGGCCGACGTAATACTGTTTTACTTGCCTTAGTTTTTATTTTGTATACATGTATGACACAGAACCTTTCCAATAAAATAAGGCTTATTCCCCCCTTTTATAATAAACAACAAAAAAAGTACCAAATGTTTCAACGTTCCCGAATTAATTACAATAGTAATTATTCAGTAAAATACAATACCTATTCCTCTTATGATGGAACAGAAATAGATAGTGAAACATCGTAAACAAAATAGTTTAGACTGCAGCAACAACGAGAGAACGAAGAAGAAATTCAGAAGATCAAAAGAGTATTACAATTATATTTGGTATGTACAAGCCAACTCATTTTTATGATGGTATATCCAAGAATTTCGTAAAGTTTATTTATTAGGAATACCTACTCTTTCTCCTTCTCATGGAACTCAAACTTAAAGTGGCAAGTGACAGGCTTAGGAATGTTTTTCATTACAAAGAAAAACAAAAAGGATGTAGGTCTTAAAAAAAAAAGAAAACAAACTTTTAAAGAAGGTGTTAGTAAAACATTCAGCAAGGAATTTTGCGTGTTTTGTATTTTAAAAACATCCTACGCTTTACTCAAAGCTATAACCTGATTCTCCAGTTTTGCATGTGTTCTCGAACCTCCTATATGGAAATAAATAAGAAGCCTATAATATTGTCTGGTGTTACAAAAGATTCAATGTATACCTTTTACGTTTCAATCTCATTTCGTCGATGGTACAAAACGTAACATTTATTGATTTCGGAACGGATCCAGAAATAAATATTCCTTATCGGTGGCTGTTCGTTTCTCTATATGAATTCTCCTCCATCTACGTCAAAAAAGGACATTGATCTTTGAAATTTATTCAGCAAATCTACATAAATTTGCCCGTCAAAATATCCCTTTAAAGTAAGGTAACACCTTTCGAACTACAAATTGACAGAAATAACTTGGCCCCTGGAACTTTAACACCCACCGATGTGCTATAGATACAACTGATATTCGATCCTCATGCTTTAGCAAAGACAAACTCGACCCTTTTTATCAAAAAACAACTTTCAATTCGAAACTTCAAACACAAGTAGAACCAACAATAAAAATTTCGTCTAATTTTAAGTTTTATTTAATTTTATTAGAGATTTTACTTTTCGTAGTTAGTGATAGACTTTTAGAGGAAACTGAACAAACAAGTAATACGTTAGACGTACTAATATTGTTTTATTTTGTAAGCTTTAGTTAAAGAAAGTTTAGTTATTGGTTTATTGTTATTATTTTACAAAAAGCTCATATCAACAATAGCTGAACAATTCAATTATGTAAGAAGTTTTAGTTTGTAATAAGAAATACTTAAAATAAATAATAAAAAGACGGTCTTTCAAATAACAGTCAGTTCTTTAAAGTTTCACAATCTGCTTCACTCTCACTTCCGTTATTGATTATTAAATTTTCCAAAGCTCATTTTCCATAAAATACCGATCTGCGTTTTTTGCATTTTCATAGAGTTAAAATTTAAAAGAATTAAAAAATGTATCTACTAACCATTCACCACGTTTAAAATTAATATCTACATTGTTATCAGCTGCCTATTGGAATTCATAGAATTCTGTACTAATTCGATGAGATTTAATTCAGGGTGATAGGGTGATAATCTCTTTCATAAGGATTAACCACCCACGTTGAGAGAAGTAGTTATTTCCGATAGTATGTTTGTAAAACTAAAATATCGAAGGAGAAAACTGTTGGTATGTTTCACAAAATTGTCATATGTATATTGTGATAAATTCATTTCGGCTCTTACACCAATATCGAAGAGTATAATTCTATTATATAAAAACTCCTAATGTACCGCAGTATATGCAATATCATTAGAAAGCTCTAAAAAGTAATGCTAGAGTTTCGTTTATCTTTATGCATTACACTGAAGAATCAATTAAGTCTGAAATTTATCCCAAATAAAACCGTGTCAGAAAGTAACGACAGGGCCAAGATTAGCTCCAGATTGACTCAAGATTTTCCAATATTGGACCAAAAATGACAAATGCCTGGCTTGTCACTCAAACCCAAGCCAAAAAACAATCATGGTAAAAAATGACGTAACAACCAAAGAAAGCTATTCAAACCATAATATAACTTCCAATTAGCGATCCATGAAGGTGTTGATTCATTTTATAAAAGAAACTAATGTAACTTGTGTAATACAAATACGAACTAAAAAAAAATTAAATATACTTGTCTTAAGGCTTGCAAAGTTTAAAATCCATTTTAATGTTGCCAATGTTATTGTTAGGTATTATTAAGCGCTTTAGAGTAATATATTTCAATAAATTGTGTAATTAGGTAGTGTTTAGGCTTATAATTTGTTCGGGTTGTTTTGCTGTAATCAATAGCGATTTGCCACGCCGCACGTTTCGCTGCTCGTGGTTGGAAGCACCTTCAGTGGTAGTTCAGCTGGAAGCTTTGACACATTGTGTTACCGTTGTGTTAAAGCTTCCAGTTCAGTTGCCAGAGCAAAACAACTCGGAAAATAAACGTTTTCACAATTATATTATACAGCCAGTTATTGTCATAGCAAAGTTGAAATTGTTTTTTTAAAGAGCAATTATATTCCCCTTAGAAGTTATTCCGTAACGATATTCTGTTTCGTTTTGAAGGTAGAAATTGTTTGAGTTCTCACCTGTAACTCCCTTTTCTAAATCCTCATAGTAGGCACAAAGGGCCAGCTGTTGCAAGACAGAATTCGGAAGACGACCGAGTTGTTCAATACGGCGTAATCGAACAGCAATTACTTCCACGTCTTTTACGTTTCGATCGCATGGCCTGTAACAAGAAAATTACAAGGAATAATTTAGACAGAACATAAGCTTTTACGATTAAAAGTGCGTGAGCTTGATAATCGATTATCAATAAAAATTTTGTAGAAATGTAGAAACATCATTTTTGCGGTAGTAATGACGCAGGTGTAAAAACATTATACAAAACTTTTTTGAAGATAATTGAACGATCTATAGCTTTTATTACTACATAACGTCACTATATAGCAGTATTAGCATCTGGCAAGAAGAAGGTAGAGATAGCTTTAAATATAATGGAAGAGGTGTTGTCAAAAGAGTATTGTATAAAAATAAATAAAAGTAAAACAAAAATACTGGTATGCAAGGGAAGAAAAAAGTAGGGAAAGAGCGAATATAAAGATGAGAGACGATAAATTTGAAGAAGTGGCTGATTTTAGCCATCTAGGAAGTCAGATAAGTCAGGACGGAAGGAGTAGTAGGGATATAAAACAGAGGATAGCGCAGGGTCGTGTCGCCTTTAATAAAAAGTAGTCACTTCTATGCTCGCGAACGGTTAATTTAGAAATTCGAAAAAGATTGTTAAAGGTGTATGTTTGGAGCGCGACGTTGTACGGGTGCGAAAANGAAAGAGCGAATATAAAGATGAGAGACGATAAATTTGAAGAAGTGGCTGATTTTAGCCATCTAGGAAGTCAGATAAGTCAGGACGAAAGAAGTACTAAGAATATAAAACAGAGGATAGCGCAGGGTCGAGTCGTCTTCAATAAAAAGTAGTCACTTCTATGCTCGCGAACGGTTAATTTAGAAATTCGAAAAAGATTGTTAAAGGTATACGTTCGGAGCACGGCGAGGTACGGGTGCGAAACATGGTGTTACCGGCGAATGATGAGGATACCGTGAATAGAGAAAGAAATGAAGAGATTTTAGAAAGAATAGGAGAACAGAGGACTCTATGGAAGTCAACAAGAAATAGGCGAGAAGGACACCTTCTCAGGCACGAAGGTCTAGTCAGGGACATAATAGAGGCAGAAACAGGAATTAGAAGGAGTAGAGCTAGACCTACATTAAATTACTGTTCACAAATAGTTAAGTATGTGGGATGTTCTAGTTTTAGGGAAATGTGGAAGTTTGCTCAAGATAGGAAAGGGTGGAGGTGCATGTCTAAACGACTTAATGATGATGAGCGTCAGTCATTAATCAATTATAAATCAGTGAGAAAAAGATAATGTTAAAGATGTCTGCAGCAACATCACTCTATTATTCAAATTTTTAATAAAAATATGTTTCAGACCTTTTACTTTCTCGGTTGATACAACTTTTGTTATTAAAGCTAAGTAAAAATTGTATTAATGAATGATACACTATTTATTTAGCTAAAATAAAAGGAGTTGACATATTTTTTTTATACATTTGACTTGCGCTTACGTTGATATTTGAAGAAAACAAAAAAAAAATAATCCACATTTTCGAAATGATGGCTAAATGGAAAATTTTCTAGCCTCGAACGGGCCCTTCTTGTATATTAAAAAAAAATGGATGCCTATTCAATATTTTAATCTATCCCTTTGTTAGAGCATTTGATGCTAATACTACCATTAGGCAATCATTTGTGTGCAAATTACGACAATGAAATTTGTAGTTTGTTTGCTTTATCTTGACCGAAATTTTCTGAAATTATTGCCCCAGTGCTTCATTCCAAACAATTAACAATGTTAGAATTAATTAAGAAGTAAAAGACTGATGCAATTTCTTGTGAAGTGTGAAATTGTTTCTATTTATCCAACGTCTCGCCAGCTTTTGGAGTTGGCATCGTCAAGCACCCTCGCCAGATACCCTGCATTACCTAAATAACTCCATCCATAGATCCAAAAGGGAATCAATCCTGAATTAAATCTATCAACACCCACTATCGAACCTTCTTCAGTTGCATTACAGCTTTGCAAATTCTAAAATATTTTATACCAATGTGGGTAATAGATACGGTAATTTACAATTGCGTCGTGTCTCGGAAAGCTTAGCAAAATGAGACAAATTAATGGCAAGCACTGGAAGCCGAGTGCATTTTGCATTAATTTTGTTCTACAAAGGTGTTTCCGCACTGGCATCCACTAGCAAAATAAATGAGATAAACCGAAAAGCTTTTAGCGTGAGGTAGCTCGCTGGGTAACTTGTACAGAACCAAAACAATTTACCTCAACCATGATTATTATTTATCAAAGTCTATGTAGACGCGGTAACATGAACAATAATATCCTTTTCATCTGGCCCGGTGTGAAGGTGATTATTATTAGGGTTTGCTAAACAGAAAGAGAAATCCATTGTTATGTGAATTAATTAAATCCAAAAACGTTTAAATGAAGATTATTGAAATGATTAAAAGAGCCTCCCGTATACTTATAAACAGTAGAAAATATTAATGATCTATCAACTGACGTCAACTTGATGGTGAAATAAACTTAGATAATTAAGGACAACCAAGGTATACATCAGAACGACGTAATTATTAAATTCATTAATTAATCTTTGAAAAGGTCAATGACAAATTATGAAAACAATTCGGCATGCAAAAGAACATTAAAATCATCAAACCATAGACACCACCAACAAGTGAAAACCTTTCCTTTTTAAGGAGAAGACGACAAGAGAAGACTTGGAATGAGATAGGAATAACATGGGAGAAGCACTTAGTGAGAAAAAGAAAAAAATAGACACTCTCCAGAAAACCACTCTAGTTTCTTTTGTCATTTAAACTTATTTGATTTTAAGGTCAAAGCGAATCTTTTACGAAGAAGGTGCATTAAAAACAAGAATAAAAAGACAAGTTAGACCATGTTGAATATTCAGTTAATTTTAAAAGCTGCTTGCACGTGTTTTGGATCGTCTTCGATTTTTGCCTATTCCAAGAAATGGTTCAAGGAATCTGTATCAAATTTTGTGTAAAAAACCAATGTAACTGCGCGGACGCATTCCGAATGTTGACTGTTGCATATGGTGAAGCTACTTTAGACTGAAGCAACGTTTACCGGTGGTACAAAATATTCTCAAAGGACCGAGAATATGTGAACGACGAGGAGCGTACCGGACGCCAGAAGAAAACATTGATGAAGTGAAGAACCAATCGTCGAATCACTATGAGAGAAGTTGCTGATGGCCTAAACATATCGATTGGCTCCTGTCATTCGATTTTTACCAATGATTTGTGCATGAGACGGGTCGCCGCAAAATTCGTACCAAAATTGTTCAATTGCAACCAAAAACAGCATCGCATTAACATTGCTAAGGAGCTGTTGGACGACCCAAATTTGCTCCAGAGGGTCAAATCATGGGTTTTCGGTTATGACGTAAAAGCCAAAGCTCAATCATCCCAAAAGAGGCTGCCGCATGAGCCAAGCCCGAAAAAAGCGTTCCACGTTAGGTCTAATGTGAAGGCTTTGCTTATAGTTTTCTTCGATTACAGGGGCGTGATGCATGATGAGTTTTTTCCACAAGGTAGAGTGGTCAATAGGGAATATTACCTGCAAGTTATGAGCAATTTGCACGAAGCAAGCGCCAGAAACGCCCGAATTTGTGGAAAAGCAAAAATTGACTTTTGCACCATGATAACGCCCCTGCTCACACATCGTTGCTTGTGCGAGAATTTTTGGTCAAAATTCTTGTTCCCGAAACTGAACAGGCCCATGAAAGGACGACGCTAGGCTACGATTTAAAGATATAAAGACGGCATCGAAGAAGATCCTGAACAAGATCATAAAAAATTATTTTTTGAAGTGCTTCGAAAATTGGAAAAAACGTTGGCACAAGTGTATATTATCTAGTGGCGATTACTTTGAAGGTGACAAAATAGATATCCATGAATAAATAAATAATTTTTTGTAACATAAAATTCGCGATACTTTTTGAACAAACCTCGTATATATGTTCAACTTATTTCCCTAGTTTAGATATGAGTAGAAAATCAGAGTAAGAGAGTTGTAGTGCTTTATTTAATCCACTGTTTATTGCAATAGTGATCTTTAATGTGTTTTTTTTGACGTCTACAAAAATTTATAATTTTATCTTATATTCGTCTTATATATTAAATTGCTATTGGTTTTTATTATTATTTATTATTTTATTTATATCTGATCTATTATAATTCAGTGTTCTTGTTCATAACATGCTGTTTTATAGGTTAGGTACTACGAGACGCCCAGCGCCTCCACCATTTCTAAATAATTCTAACAAAAAACAACTTTGTTTTACAAAAAGAAATATTACAACTACAATACGAGAGAGACATTTTTGACTCTCCAAATCCACTGTGGATATCAACTGTTAAGGCGAAATTATGGAAACCATTAGTTCATATCTCTCACATACGAAATTATTTACATTGTCATCAATAATTAACTAGTGGCGCAACTATACCATCTGAGACCCGTGGCAGGGTTAATAACTGTTCCATTTGAATACTGTATATATATATAATAAGCAGGTTTATGTCTTTATACTTAATAATGGAACTGAAATACTCTAACCAACTCAACCACGACTACTGAGACTGTATTAAAAACTTTATAAGTATAGGCAATTTGTTATTCAAACGATTTACAGATAAAGGATTTAAACTTTCAAATTAAATTTTAAGAAAATGATTGATGGGGTACATTTTTCTGGTAACGCTTTTAAAGGTTTATTTAAATAAGCAATAGCAAAACTTGTTAACATTTTACGAAGATTTCAAGAGATGTTCGGGATTTTTTCTATTAATATCCAAATAAAATTTCAAAAACCCTTGTACCTATATGACAGTCTTCAAACAAATAAAATATAATATAATGATGTTAAAATTTTAATGAAATTAAAATTCCCGATTGTCATGTTATGGTATATTAAATGAGTTCGTAAAATTTTGTGAAAGCTCTCACGGCTGTTGTAATATGCGTTTTGTACACTTTATTGTACTATTACTTATTAATTGCCAACTGTTATAGGTATAATAACAGTAAAGATTTCAAACATTTGTCTTGCGATCGTTGTAAAGTC